GGGCGCCCGCGGCCGCGGCGCCGACCGCGGCCGCGGCGCCGTCCGCGGCCGCCGCCTCCTGCCGTTTCAATATGCCGCGCGCCATCAGCCGCGCCCGCAGCGCCGGCGGCAGGCTCGCAGCCGCCGCGGCAGACGCGCCGTCGTCGCCGCCGCCGGCACTGCCGCCCGTCCCTGCGCCCTCCTCCTCGCGCTGCTCCTGCTGCTGCTGCTGCTGCTGCTGCTGCTGCTGCTGCTGCTGCTGCTGCTGCTGTTGCTCCCCCTCCCCATTAGGGGCCCGCTCTTCTTGGCCGCCGCCCTCGCCGCCGCTGCTGTGGGGGTTGAGCATCGGCTTCGATGCGTAGCTGGGGCGGCGCGCCGCTGCAGCCGCCGCCGCAGCCGCCGCCGCCGCCTGCTCCAACGGGGTCCTCCCATCGGCGGCTGGAGCGGGCGCGGGCTGCGCGGGTAGGGCGGGGGGCCCCGGGGGCTGGCCGTAGGCAGCGGGCGGCGGGTAGTGGTACTGCTGCGGTACGCCGTACTGCTGGTACTGCTGTTGATAGTAGTGCTGCTGCTGCTGCTGCTGCTGCTGCTGCTGATGGTGGTGCTGCTGCTGCTGGTAGTATTGTTGCTGCTGTTGTTGATGCTGCGCCGCAAAGTGTTGGTTGCCATGGTGCGCCTGCGGGGCACCGGGCGGGCCCGGGGGCCGCGGCGGGCCGGGTGGCCGGGGGGGCCCGGGCGGCCGGGGGCCGGCCTCGGGCTGCTGCTGCTGCTGTCGCTGCTGATGCTGCTGCTCGCCCGCGCCCTCCACCCGCTGCAGCTTGTCCTGCGGGTGGCGACCAGGCGCCGAAATTGGCGGCGGACCCAGTGAACATGCATTATCAAGGCAAGAGAGGCATGAGGGCGGCTGCGCTGCAGGGTCGCGATTGCAGGGTCGCGCTGCGCCAGCCGCGTGCAGGTGGGCATGCTTGGCATTGGGTCCCATGAGTCAGTCTGGATCTTGCGCACCTTGCCCTGCGCGTCTGCTGCCGCGTCCGAAAAATCGCGCTTCTCGCCGCTGCGACATGTAAAACGGGGCGGAGCGCGGCAGGAAAGTGAGCTGAGACAGCTAGTTTGGCTGGTCACAAGCATGCCGCCGGCAGCTGCCCCGTGCAACTCACATGCTACTGGTGCCATCTGCGCCGCCCGCTTCATGGGGTAGCGATGCTGCTGCCGTCGACCCCGGCGCAGCTGGCGGGCCCGATGGCGGCCCTGGTGGTCCGGACGCCATCCAGGCCGGCATTGTGGCTGACCGACCGCGGCCCATCCCGGGGGCGGTCATCCTTATCAGATCAGTCGCGTTTTCCTCAGATCGTCGACTCAAAATTAGAAGGCATAGTGCATTTGGCAACCATCTATGCTACAGTCTCTGTTTCGGACGAAGAAGATTACTGGTGGTGCAGGAAAGCCAGTGCGCTTGTTGGTACCGTAAGCACCGTCATCGTGACTGGCACACATGGTGCTCCCTGCATTCCTGTGTGTGCATGACGACAGTGCGCACTTGCGCTTATTCATAGGCACCTCAAACAACATGAGCAGTCTTGCCATTCAGCAGCAACATGCAGTCTTGCCATTCAGCTTGTAAGCCTGCGGTCATGCAGGTTCTGAGCTGCCGCGAGCGTGGTGCACTCCCGTGCTACCCCTAGGGGCGAGACATGTCCAAATGGGCTTGCCGCACCGCATGCAGCATACAACAACCAGAGGTTGTCCGGAACATGCAGCTGTTACAACTTTGGGGCTGGCCAACTCGGCCCTCTCTGCCACCAGACACAAGCAGCATTGTGAAAAAGTCTGTTCAGCGCCCAAGGAGGCCGCGAAGCTGCAGCTGACAGATGCGTGCAGTGGTGGTCCCACGTCTCGCTTCACATTTGATCCTGGCGGTCGCCTTGCCGCAGCGGGGTCACGCGCGCTTTCAGGCCTGTCTCAGCTGACTTGCGACTCCAGGGCAGAATATTTCCGCTTCTTCTTCCCCGCGTCAAACAGGTCGCGCCTCTGCCAGCAGCACTAGCTGCACGGGCAGCCCCTGTAACTCGTTTGTTTGGAGGTTTCTGGGGACTCCATACTTGTACAGGGTGGCGCGTTCACCGCAGCCAAGGAGCCAGCCGATGGCACGGTCGCCGGCAGCTGCCCCAGCCAGTGGATGATCCAAACATGGCAGAGCTGCTTGGGGGCCGCTGCCTGCACGTCTGCGCCAAGCGCGTGATCCTCTGGAGCTCCCAGGGAAGATGTGGGGTGGAGCTCGCGGGTGCAGGCGCTCTGTGGCATGCGGTCAACCACCGCGAATGACATCATCGCACGAGCTGATTAGTGTTTGCTGAGCGCGGGCCCTTCCATGAGTGAATGTGGCGCAGCGATTGCCATGAGGGTGGCTCAATTGCTTGATTGAGCTGACATAGACAGGATCAGCTCTCTTCTGGCCCCGGAGCTTGCACCGGGCAGCCCAACCACGCCTGCACCGCCCAGTGGATGAAGCAGCGCGCCTGAGCTAAGGTGACGCCTGCGCACAACTCTTAGGTACGCTCGAGTACTTTGGCATGATTTGTAGGCGGCGCCCTGTTGAGTACCGTCCCGGTACCCTGAGCGGTGTCAGCAAACGCTTCTCGAAGGCATCAGGCATCTCTGATTGATGAGCACCGCGCTCGATCGTAACGTTCACATACCATACCGTTCATTGTCAAGTTCAGCACTTCAAGCATATCCAGACAAGCGTGCCTCTCCAACGCACACCTCAGCCCGAGCCTCCTAGTGGGTCAGGGTCCCGTTCTAGCGAGGTGAAGGGCAGCGTGCCGGACCCAGCATGCTGCCCGTAATAGATGTATCACAGGGCGTGTGCGGAGGTGGCTCGAGCCACGGAGGCAGCAGGCTGGCCCCAGTGTTCCGCGCGAACGCTGCTGCCCGGGCTGCTGTCCAGTCCCAGGCGAGCCTAGCCGGCCGCTCAGCTCCTGTGGCCGTGGCTGGCGCTCGCGGTCGCACGTGTGGCCGCGGCGCGGCGGGATGCGCCAGCGCTGCTGCTGCGCTGGCGTCGCCGCTGGCGGCGGCAAGCGGCGACTGCTTGTCGCGCCAGATATTGGAGTTTGGATATGACAAGCACATTGAGGACAAGTACGAGTGGGGCCACGAGCTCGGCAAGGTGCGCAGCAGTCTGGGTCGCAGTCCGCGTGGGTCGCCTGATCTCCCAGACTCATGTGCGCGATGCACCCCTTACATTGTCGACATGTCAGCAGCAACTGCTGCATGCCGCAGCCCCCCACCCCTCCCCATACACATACCTGATGGCATCCCGCTCATCTCCCCTCTCACCAACTCGTCGGACCGCCTGGGCAGGGCGGCAACGGCGTAGTGCGCGTCGTCGTTGACCGCCAGACCGGTGAGCGCCTCGCCTGCAAGGCCATGCCCAAGGAGCTGCCCCCGGACGTGGCCGAGTCCAAGCGCCGCGGCCACGCGGACGCGATCAAGCGCGAGGTGGAGGTCATGCGGCGGCTGGCTGGCAGCTTGGCGGTGGTGCGGCTGGTGGACGTGTTTGAGGACGACGACAACGTGTACATAGTTCAGGAGCTTTGCGGCGGCGGCGAGCTGCACCACCGCATCGGGGACCGTCACTACAGCGAGCGCACGGTGCGCGCGCGCGCTTTGTGTGTGTGTATGTGTGTGTGTGTTTGTGCGTGTGTGTGAGTGCACGGGGCAGGTGCCTGGATACTAGGTGCTGGCGGGGTTGCCCAGCCTGCTTTTGATTTTGGGGCGAGCGTCATGGGCGGACTCCAGCGCCGCTGCTGCGCGCCGCGCGACGAATTTCTTTTCATGCAGCCCTCATTCATCCATTCACACCTTCATGTCCAACCCCTGCCCGCCCGCCCGCCAGGTGGCGTCCTACATGCGCGCCGTGCTGCGCACGCTGGCGCAGTGCCACTCGCACCGCATCCTGCACCGCGACATCAAGGTGGGGGGGGCGGACAGCTCTATTGCACGCGGTTGTGCCTCGCGATCAAGCGCAGCAGCCGATCCAGATGCAGCTGCTTTGAATCCATCGCCGGTTGCGGCTGTGCGGCTCGCTGTCATGGCGGGCAC